TTCAAGAATTCAGGATTCTCTTAAGGCATCTGAAGGTTGCTAAGTGAAAAGGCTAAATATTGGTTATTCAATTAATTATAATAACTATAATATTTGATTATTTATAAAAATTTTTTATTAATTTTTGATTTAATACTTGTTAAAATTTTTTTGATTTCTATTGATTTACCCCATATATTAGAAAAACCCGTAAAGTTTCAAATATAATTATGTAGAAAAAATATGCGTTAATAAAATTAAAATTATACTCGTATTTTGGTTTGTAGCCAAGAAACTTTGAATGATTTGCTTATTATGATCTGCCTTTTAGTAATCAAATTATTTGAAAGCCTTAGATCGATATTTGAAGTGAGAAAGAAATAATTTATCTTTGTCATAAAATGTGTTTTAAAATACATTGAGATATTAAAATAAATTTTGTATTTATAAGAATTTGAATTCAACATAACTTATGATACAATTTTAATTTGCAACATTTTGATTTGTACAATGGACCAAGTTTCATTTCAGTTAACCATACTTAGTAGATTAATTTGTTATTGACTTTGCTTGCATCTTGAAATAATCCCCTTGGAGATAATACGTAGGGTTACTCAGGGACACTGAAACTATATAAATAATTAATATGAAAACGCACTACCAGCAACAGGCTCCATTTGTTTCTCTCAGGCATCTATCGCCAGTAGAACCGTCAACTCGGATCCAGATCCAGATCTGGTTTATGCAATGAGTTCGAAAGCCTCTATTAGCTACAGACACACGTGAAAGACATTGCAGGTAGCTATTAATTATATGTACAGTTTTAGTTCGAGTACCTAACTGGTAGATGAAAATACAGTATATTTAAAAATCAAAATTTTGGACAATGTTAAATTGTCTGAAAATAAATATGAACTTTTCTATTGGTCAGATCGATGAAAACATAATTACTATTTTGGTCAAAAAAATGTTTTTTTTTTATTGGTCGGGCTGTGTTTAATTAGTTATAATTTTAACGTTAAGTTTCTATGTATAATCTACAAAATTATTGTAATTGGACATAAAAAGTATAAGCGAGTATAAGCGAGTATAAGCATATGAAGTATATGATAGAGAATTCTCTTTAATCTAATTGATCTGATAATTGATCTGATGCAATCATAATGCAATCATACTACGTATTAAATACACGTCATAGTATTTCAGCATCAATGGATGCTGAAATAAGTCAGATGATTAAACTGTTAAGTATCGATATTAAAAATTATTTAATCTACTAATCACATTTATTTTTTGATCTTAAGTTTCCTTATTTAGTCGAGAAATTCAATGAAAGGTTTCGTTTATTATTCAACAGACATTTTTGACTAAGTTTAAATCTAAGTTTATATTATCAAAAAAAAATGTGTACGTATATTTAGTCGAATTTATATTTTTTTCACGAAAATTTTTCGTTATATTTTCAATACAACGATGTCATTACGTATTTATATAAGTACATAGGGAAAGGCCTAGAAATTTTACAACTGGCAATACTAATACATTTTACCTTCTTAAAAAAATGTCTTTGGCTACTGTGATATTAAAGAATAATAGTCGAAATTGCAGAAAGTGATGAATAAATTATGAGAAATTCAGTCAATCTTATTTGGGAAGTTGTGATCATCACTTTCAATAACCACCATTTCCTTAGATAATGGCAGCAAGCTGGCGATATTGAAAATACGAACATACCTAGTAACGATCGCACTACAATAATAATCGATCTCAGGTAATTTTAGCTTCAGCTAAATACATTGTTACTACAATTCAATCAATAGCGATAGTCTGTTATTAATATTTATGTGAATTCTCTAACTTGGATAATGGTAAAATTTTCAAAAACTCAGCAAGAAAATCTTAGTGACAGTGATGATATATATTCATTTAGATGCAATCAAATATTAATGAGGTAAGAATCCTTAATTAGATTTTGACAAAGCAAAATTGAGAAAGTTAATTATCAAAACACTAATTTCAAAATGTGTCTATTATATAAAATTAGGCTCGAAACAAGTCAGATCCAAAATATTCAGATGAAGCACACAATGCTTATGATGATATTTATAATGCATTGAAGACTTTGAATAAGACAGATTTAACAAAATTTGATGAATGATCCATTAACAATAGAAGTTATTGATATCTCTTCTGAGTGGGTTTGTTCTTATCTTAAAAATGATTCAATTGAATTTCTTAAGGTATTGTAGATAATTTTAACCATTAGGTAGTATTATTACGATAATCAAATTTATTTATCTAAATTGTTATATTTAAATTAATATAGGGTGATTTATCAAAAAGGTTAATTTTAGATAAAAGTATAACAGAAGAATGTAAAGAAATAATCCAAAAATATCATACAAATAAAGATTTAAAGTGGGTTATTTCTGAAAATTCTGTTCCTTCTTTAAACAAATGAGTAGAAAGTGTAGAGTCACAAAAACATTGCGCACAAAAATTCTTGGATGTCTGTATGTAAATTGTTTTAAGAATTTAATTTGTTATTAATTATTTATTCTAAAATTCGTAATGTAATTTTTTAGAACTAGCATTTGGAATTTAAATACAATTTGGTCCAAAAATCAATCCGAGAGGATTTACATAGCACAAATTGTTGAACCACTCATTTCTGTTGCGTTTGAAAATCTACCAGTAGATATTAAACATGAGCTAAAGTAAGATTGTGTTGATTTGTAAATTTGGTTTTTTTATGTTTGAAGTAAGTCACTATTTTTTTATATATTTTTTAGAGGAGAGAAGCAGAGTCTTGCTAGTAAAAATTATAAGTTAACAAATTCTTCAAACTCTGCTGTTGGTAATCGTCCGGATATAATGTTCACTATAAAAATCGATCTTGAGTTGCTTTATGTTGAAAGTGGTCGATGTCTAACTACTGATCAAAAGGTTTTTTCTGATCATAACAAGTTAGCTTGCTTATGCAAAGGGGGATATAATTACATAACCACTTGGAAAAGATTAGACAATAAAAATATTCACTCTTCCCTTACAATTTTAGGCATAAATATAGCTGGTAAGCTGAATTTTGCGATATTTAACGTTATATATAAAACTAATGTCAACTTTTATAGGCGATCATATGAAGATATATGGACTTCAACAGAAAGATAATCTTTACTTTTATTTTCCACTCACCGAAGCCTACATACCTTTAGAAAATACTTCATGGGACAATGCTAAAGACTTAGTTTACGCGCTATTATTAATATGAGGATGTTTATAAAGCATTTTTAGTTTATTAATAATATCCGATTTAGCAATAACTGTTTAACATATATATTATTTATAGAATATTATTATAGTTGTAGCTCATAACTTGAAGATTGCTAAAAAAGTTAACAGTCCTAGAAAAGAAAAAAAAAAGCTAACGCGTAAATCTTGATATATTTTAACTTTTGCAAGTCAAATGTATATAACAATCAATTGCATATTATGTATATAGGAAAATTTTGATAAATACTCTTGACAAAAAACTTAAGAATTTTGTTTAATTAAAAATAAATTGTGTAAATTAATTAGTACTGATAATAGTGAATAGTTTCCTCAAGAAGAATACATAATTTAATGAACTGTAAACATCAATTTTAATAACTTCTTTAAACTCAGTTGTTTCTCCGACGGCCTCGGGAAGCCGTAGGAGAATGAATTAAATCTAGTATGCAATAATGGGATCACGCAGTTACGTAATAATGTATATCTCCGCAATGTCTAGTAAAAAAAAAAATTTTAACATCTTATTTTATTAATAAAAGTTAAAAATTCAGCACTTATATATATATATTAAAATAATAAATATAAATTTTCCTTCTTTTGTTTTCTTTTTTTAAAATTTAGCACTATTATGTAAAATTTAGCACCATCTATATATATTTTAAATTTTAGTACTATGATAGAATTAGATGTCCTGCACCATAGTAATTTTGCCTAAATTCTTATATAGCAATTATGCTACCCATGCCAATTTTATCTAGATTAGCAATTAAGTTATTATTGAGTTATTAATGTTTAAAGATTTAAAAAAAAAATTATTTAGAATATTTGGTATGTTTTTATTAATTGACCCCACCTATCTAATTTATTTATAATTTAAATTTAATTTAAATTTGATGGTATAAGATTTTAATATCGCGGCTGATGCTGAAATTTGCACTATTTTGATATGAAAACTTAAAATTTTTTGGGTGTTTTTTTTATTGTTGGGTTAGGATTTTGAATTAGAATTTATAATTATTAAAGTGTATATGTGGATTTTAGCAAGGCTTATATTTTCAAATCGAGACCCCAAATTTCAGTATCAGCCAATTTCAGCGTCAGCCGCAAAATTTAACTAGTAGAGATACTGTATTGAATTTAGTTTATAATTCATAGAAGCATTTTTCGAAGTGTTAAGTCAACTATAAGGTCACATGATATATGGTTTCTAGAAAACGGCTTTAACCAAAATTTATTACTCACAACGCAAGAACCGAATATATACAAGTATTAAACTCGAAATTTCGTTTACAAATTCAATAATAGTAACAACCTTTATTTTCAGTATAATTTGAGATTATCCAATAAACAGTAGGTATATTTAGTCTTCTTCTAAGAAAGATAGAATCTTATACGATTTTTTATTAGTAGTGTTGTGCTACTTTAGAGAGTATATATAAGTTACACGGGCAACTGATTTACAATAGTCAACCAGACAGACGAATTTCTTTTTTACAAATGCATATAAAATTTTACAATCTACAACAAATACTTATTAATGCATGCGATGTATAGTACTCATGGTCTTTATTTTTGCGTAGCACATTCAATTTATTTCCTTACTTAATTTTTTAATATATAAAGAGCTTATTTCGATTTTGCTAATTTCCATATATTTTGCAGTCTCATAATCGCTAAAAAGATAACCAATAAATTTTAGGAAATCTGTCACAGAAATGACATCATATGACTCGTTCACGATATATAGAATGGTTATTCATAATTACCTCAAAGCCAATAATGTCAGATATTCTAACCGCAAAATTTCTCAGTTGGCAGACAAACTGTGGAGAAATGAATCTGAAGAGATTAAAAATGAGTATAAACAATTAGCTAAAACAATAAAATGTCATGAACAAAGTTTTAAGACCGAAACTATTGATATTGATAATGTTGAAAACCCTTTCTCGCTTGGGACCACAAGTGATTATCCTTCGACCAACACTGAACCTAGTCTACATGATCAGTTCTCAGTAAACACGTTAAATATTAATTTGCCACCCATCTTGGTACAAACAACGAACTTTCAAAATAGTCTTATAATTATTTTTACATTGATTCTTTAACGTCAAATCTTTTTTTTACAAGAACATATATAAATAATATTTTTAGTAGAATTTCGATACATTAACGATATCTTCCAAAGTCTCATCAAATATACTGATGATTTTGAATTTCATGACAATGGTATATATTCCTGTCTAGACTTTATTTGTTGGTTCAATGAACAAATCTCGAAGTGGGAAGTTTTATATGAATATTAATATCATTTACTTATATGTTAGATGCCAAAATTTTATTTATTTATACGTACTATTTGTTTTTTTATACTATATATATACATACAAAACATATATTTGTTAATTATGCCATTTACATTAATCTTTCTTACGTTATTAATAAAACAACAAAATATTTTGATAAAAAATTCTCAGAATATAAAGGATGCTTGACACAAGAACGAACTAATGACTCTTGCATGTTACCTTCGCAAACACAACCAAACTACATACAGAGTACATTATGTTTACCAAGGACTACTTTCACAATTTTTTATTACAGTTACACCGCAAAAATCTATTTTTCCCGGTCCACTCTAAAAAATAATAAACATCATTTATTCCTTTTTATTTACGATTATTAAAATAAATTTTTAGATTATTTCCAACTAAAATATAGTATAAATCTGGTTTTGTGTAATTACAACTTAGTTACGTCATTGGGTTTGAATTTAAAATGCACTAAACATATCGATATTGAGCAAAGTTTTTTGTTTTTGTTTTTTACTTATTGCTTATCGTTCTAATTGTTATCCATTGGGCCCAATGTAGAAGACCTCCATTGACATTGGTCTATTGCTCCATTGAGAATAATTTGTCAATGGAGCCAATGGAGTCCAACATTATAATTATCAATCATAATACATATATATATATATTATATATTCTAATTTATAAAATTACTAATAACTTTTAATTACCAAAATGATTGTCTTGATGAGGGGATTCTAACAAACTCAAAATCGCTAAAATCCAATCGTATAATCTAGAGATCATTATGATTTTAATAAGTGTTAAAAACTCTTATTAAAATCATACAAAATTTGAACGATTTCTAGATCATGCGATTGGATTTTAGCGATTTTGAGTTTGTTAGAGTTCTCTCAACGAAACAATCATTTTGATAATTAAATCATCCAAAACGGATTAGTGGATCAAAAATTAATAATTTTATAAATTAGAATATATATATAATTAATAATATAAATATATCATTGGTTAATTCAATGGAGCCAATGGATACTATCCATTTTCTTCATTGGTCCATTGGTAATTTTCTTAATTGACCTTATCTATTGCCAACCCTGGGTATCGAGCAAAACACCCAAGTATTGCAAAAGTTAACGATACGAGAAAGAAAATGAAAAAAGTTCTTAGAAAAATGACATCAGTTAGATATTGCCCAGATGAAATACATATACGAGTGTTATTAAATAATATATAGAAGATGATATAGGAATTGCCTTTATTTCTAGAACGACTAAGCTAAATTCCAGCCAAAAAAAAAGAAAAAGGTTAAACCAATCACAAATGGTTAATAATTAAAAAAAATTGAAACTGCGAAGAAAACTAAAC